CCAAACACGACACCCCATGCTGATCACCCACTCATCCACGCGAGGCCCCTGCAAATGCTGGCTGAGGGCCGGGGGTGGCGCCAGGGACACAGACGACCCAGCTCAGAGTCCAGGCCCGGAAAAGGTGAGACATGTGTGGACGGTGCCAGGCATGATGCCAGTCCTGCCAGGGAGGGGGGAAGCCCCTCCAGCTGAGTCTCAAAGAAAACACAACACACATACTGGGCCCATGCCCTGCAGACATGCTGACACCCCTCCCAGGGCCTCTCTGGACCCACCTTCTCCCCAGGCCATGCAGGCTCCCTACCCAAACCTTCTGCCTGGAGGCCCTGCCCCCCACCCCCAACCCCACCCCCATGCCACTCCCCAACTGGGACCACCACAGCGGCTTTGTCAGAACACCCAGGTGCTGCGCTCTGATCCACATTGACTCTGTGGCCACCCTGCTCCCAGCCCCACGGGACAGCCTTAAAGTCTCCACCCCGGTTTCCCCAGGCCCTCCTGGCTAGCCCCAGTCCCTGCCCTGACCCACGGACAGGCCCCTGGCCCTATGCACACAGCACCACAAGGGACTTGGGCTGCTCCTTTACCAGCACCCTTACCCCATTCACCTGACCCACGCGGATTCTCCCTCACCCCTAACCCTCCCTGCCCTCCCACACCCAGCCTCTGAGCTGCTCTAGGCCAGGCTCTGGGGAATTGGGAGTCAGGACAGCCCTTGCAGTCCCTCTCCCACAGGGCACCCAGAGCTCTCCCCCCATAGACCCAGTAGCTCCAGCCCCACGTGGAATCTTCCCTGGAGAGAAGGCGGGGGTGAGGGGGAGCTCAGGCAGGCAGGAAACTGAGAACGTTCTGGGCAGAGCAGTGACCATGAAGGGAAGACTGGGGATTTCCAGGGGGAGAGCCGGGGAATAAATGACGTGTCCAGGGTGGGGCCTGGGGTGTTGCGGGGGGGAGGGGATCACTACGGGGAGGGGCTGAGTGGCTGGACTTTGGAGGGGCAGCTGGGGAAGGAGCTTCTCATGGGTAGGGCCGGGGTGGGGGGGCGGTGAAAGCTAGCTTGGGCTAGAAATCAGGAGGCAGAAGCCAGAGCCCTTCATGGGCCCAGTGAGGGGCCAGGAGTGCTTGGACGGGTCTGGGGGGCAGTCCCCGAGGCAGAGCCAGAGAGCGCTGTGCTGGGCCCCAAGAGAGGGGGGCTCAGCCTCCTCCCCACCTGCACACTGGCTGACAGCAGGGGCCATGCCTTCCCTCCCTCCCTCGCTGGGAGCCCTCCACCTCCAGGGACAAGATGGGCCAGGACCTTGGTCCTCTGGTAGGTCCAAGGGGTGCACAATGGTCAGACCTGTGGCCCATAGCCCAGCCACCTATGGCCTCCTCTAGACTACTCCTGGCCTTGGCAGCAGCCCTGGGCTGGCCATAGGCACCAACCTAGCCCCTTACTCAAAGGAACTGAGGAGTCATGGGGGTGCCCAGTATGACCCAGAAGCCCTCTGACGCCCGGGCCTGTGTGGGAAGCCCCCAGCACCCGCTCTCCTACTTAGTGATGGCCAGCTGCCAGTGCCACACGACCGTGGAGCTGGGCCACGGCACTGACACGTCCACCCTCTGCACCCTCCGGCAAGAAGCGGGCACCAGTCGCCCACTGCCCTCTTGTCAGCCTCCAGCCACCATGCCCAGGAGGTGGACATGGGCCAAGACAGCCCAGTGTGTCCAACATCAAGCCTGGCACCCAGGGAGGCTGGGTTGGGAAGGGCAGGCACCGAGACAGGAAACCCCCCAGGGGCCTGTCAGATCTCCCTCCTGGGAGGCAGGTCTCCACCCCAGGGGGTAGAGGGAACACAACTACTCAGGTCAGGATGCTTCAGATGCATGCCCCGGACAGGCTCTGGACCACACGCAGCCTTGTGCCCTGATCACACCAAGGAAGATTCTGGAACAAACCGCTATGTATTCTGTGTGGGCAGCCCTACTTCATAAACAGTTCTGTCCTGGGGTGTGCCAGGAGAACTGTGGCTCACGTGGGCGGCTGCTTCCTTGCCCAGGACCTGTCCAGATGGGCCCTCCAAGGCTGGGCCAGCTCTGGGAGGTAAGAGCAGCAGGCCGGCCCTCTCTACACTTAGGCTCCCTCCCTCAGGAGCCCATTGTCCCAGGAGCATCTCTGGTAGGACCAGGCCAACGGGGTGACCACAGCCCTGGCAGGAGAACCACACAGCACAGCCACCTTGCCAGAGATCAAGCAGAAGCTGTTAGGGGAGGGTGGCCTGGCAGGAAAGAGCCCTAGGCCCTATGAAACCTCTCCGTGCCTGGGGGAGGTCAGTGGGTAGAGAGCAAGGCGAGGCCTGAGCAGGACCTCTCTCCCGGAACTGCCCTTGGGGGCAGAGACAGCAAAACCAGCCATGTGGAGCTGGAAACAGCTCTGGTCAGCTCTGCCCAAGGCCCCCGCCTCGACCCTCTCCAGCAACTCACTGTCAGGGCCCTAAGCCTGTGTGGGCCAGGAGCCAGGGCTGCGATGGTGCCTGCTCAGAGCCCAGGGACCCGGGCAGCTGGGCTGGGGTGCGGGCTGCTGACAACAGCGAGGGCCTGGGTAGGTCCAGAGACCCCAGGGGGCCGCTGGAGCAGGGCAAGGGGGTCTGTCAGAGACACATGGCCATTTCTTCTGAAAAGGAAGAGAGGGTAGCCCTGTCTTCCCCAGCACACAGCTGCCTGCCCAGGGTAAAGAGAAGGGATGTAAGGAGCTCCCTGCCAAGGGAGGGTGGCAGCCCAGGGGCTGGCCCATTTGGGGATGTGAGGAGAGGCCACAAGTATGTGACCCGCTGCCAGGTGCGACAGCGGCCCCCACCCCACGGGGGAGGCACGCCGCTGAGGGGCACGGGGAGGGCTCGGCCTTGACCCACGTGTCTGCTGGGCACAGACTGGGGACACCGGACACTGGCCCCGCGAGCCCCCGCCCGCGGCGCGGCCCACCCCACCACCCTCGCCGCGCGATGCCCTATTAAGGGCATGACCGCGGGGGCTCCGCCGGGCGCTCCTGCCGGTTCCCCGGGCGCCGCAGCCGCGGGTGTCGAGGGGGACCGGCGAGGCGGCGGGCCGGGCTCTGCCTGGGCCGCGATCGGACCGGCCACGGCGGACAAGGGGTCAGAGGCCGGGCTGTCAGGCTGGAGGACCTGCCAGGGCCCGGCCGAACGGCAGGTCGCCCTCAGGGTGCGCGGGGCCGGCGGCGCCATACCTTTGTACTTCTCCCGCACCTCCTCGTAGGCCTGGATGAAGTCCAGCTCGTCGGGCGGCGGGCCCAGGGGCAGCAGGGCGGCCATGCCTGGGCGCGGGACGCGGCGGGCACGGCGGCGCAGAGCGGCCTCCAGACCGGGCGGCCACTGTCCCCGCGGCCGCGCGCCGCTTAAAGGGGCGGCCCCGCCCCGCCCCCGCACCCAGGATGCCCCACGGGCGGGGCGGGGCCGGGCGAGGGGCCAGGGGGCCAGGGCTGCGCCGGGCAGGCTGGGCAGGCTCCCAGCCGCGGCCCCACGCGCGTCCCGGGGGCGCACCCCCGTCCCCGCCCCCGGCCGGTCCCAGTCCCTCGCGGCCCCTCCCTCGCCGGCCCCTACCTCTCCGGCGACCTCACCTGGCCGCCCTCAGGCGCGCCCCTTCCCTCCTCCCTCTGCCGCTACTGAGAATCCTCCCACTGCGAGGCTGGAGGTGAGAGTTGCTACCTTCGATATAAAAAGAGCCCTCAAATCACAAAAAATTTAAGTAAGCATAAAGGGACTAAAATAGGCAATGTGCAGCAAAAAGAAAAAAAAAGGTTTGGTAAAACTAAAAGACAAATTCTTTCCCACCCATGAAATGGGCTAAGACCCTGTGTCCCAGCGCGGGCAGATGCCCTCCTTTCTGGAGCACAGAGGCAGTGTCCGTCTCTAACCTTAGCTGCTGCAGACGCTGTGACCACAAACCCTACTGCTAGGGGTCAGTCCTGAGATCATCAGGCTGGGGCCCTGGCAGCAGCACAGCTCCCAGCAGGGAGAGCTGAAGGCCACCGCCCCCGGGGCAGGGGCTGATGCTGAACCGCCCCCGGGCAGGGGCTGATGCTGAAGAAGGTCGGGGGGGCGGAGAGACACTCATGACTCGCTTTCACGTGGGTAAAAATCCTCCTTTAAAGTCCATATGTGATACACCCACACAGCCCTCAAGCTGTCCTGAGCCTCTGCATTTCCTTGAGCTGCTGCCGGTCCTCCCACCCACAGAGCCCCTCGCTGCCCACAGTCCTGCCCTCCCTCAGCAGCTGGCCTTTCAGGCCTCTGCCCACCTGCCTCAGTGTGCGCGCCCAGGCACCTGCCGGGTCGGCCCTGCCCTCCACGCGCCTCATTCTGTCCTCAGGGGGGTGGGATCAGCACTCTGCAGCCTGGGCACGGGACCCTCAGCTGGCTCCTCCCTTTCCCAGCGCAGCCTGCCCGAAGGCCTCCAGCCTGGGTCACCCACTTCCCAGGGGGAGGGCCCACTCCCCAGCTGCCCCACCCTACACTCTCAGGGGCCTCTGGCTGGGCCTTTCCCATCCTTCTCCACAAATCGGCAGCTGCTGGAGGCCAAGGCAGGCCCGTGGCTCACGGCGTGGCCGCGGCCCTAGCCAACCAGGTGGCCCCTCTTCTCCTGCTTCCCCACACTGCCAGTGGTGGCAACCAAGAGCAAGGGGCCTGGAAGGCGGCTCTGCCCCAGAAACCCAAGAAAGTGTCATGGCATCTGGGCACAGCCTCCTTGTCCTGAGCCAATGATGGCGCCATGGCGGGGGACTCAACCTCAGGCCTCAACCTTAGGCCTCCTGCAGCTGACAAGAGGGGGCCAGCAGGTGGCGCTGTGCTGCCCGCAATCACCTGCCACAGAAAAGTCGGCTGGGGACCAGCACATCACCCTCCCATCCCAGTCCTAACACCCGCAGGTAGCCAACAGCAAGTGCTCAGTCAACAAGCGAGTGCTAATTTCCAAACTGGGCAGACAAGGCCCTTCAGCGTTACCTGCAATGCGGATGACTGCCCGCTCAGCAGGGTCCAAGACACTCCCATTGCCCCCGGAGCCCCCTCCGCTTCGCCGGCTCCTCTGCGTTTTCCCCAGGTTCCAGGGCAGTGTGTCCCCAGGGCTGGGCGAGCCACTGCCTCCGTTGGCATCTTCAGCCACCGGCCGCCCCTCGTGGTCCTCGCCTAACATGGCCTCCTGGAGAGGGAGCAGGAGGGGGGTCACACCTCTGTGTTTAGGGGGATACTGCACACCAACCAGACACTTCCTCAATCTAGACATTGACTGCACCCTTCCCACCCTAATCACTTAGACACTGACACCCACTCCCCTCCTGTGTCCCACTTCATCCACATACTGATCGCCCCCAACCCAGACATTGGCAGCTCTGCTCCCACCCACAACTGGCCTCACTCCCTCCAGCTCAGCCCTGGGACACCCACACAAAGACACCCCTCCCCCCAGCACTGACCTCACTCCCTTGTCTATCACCAGGACACTGGCCCCTCCACACTGTCAGCCTGGGGGCTCACCCCGTCACTCAGACACCAACCGCGCTCCCCCCTCCCCGGCTCTGTCCCAAACCTGGAAGTCCCCTGCAAACCTCAGACCAGCAGGCAAGCCCGACCAGCAGGAAGCACTGACCGCAATCCCTTCCTTCCCCCCGCCATCAGGAAAGGGTCCCGGCCCCATCGCCTGGACACTGGCACTCTACCTCCAAAAGCTGTCTCAGCCTCTCGGACTCTCCACCGTCCTTCCCCACCCCCGGTCCCGCTCAGTCCCACCTTGAGCTCCGCAGTGAAGGCCTATAAATATCTGTAGCCGCAGAGGCGTGGGCCGCGGGAGCTCGGGCCTCCCCTCCAGCCTCCGCCCAGAGCCTCCGGCACACCCGCACACCCACGCGTGACCGCTCTTCAGCTCCGGGTCCCCAAGAGCGCTGGCGTGCGAGAGGTCAATGGGGCTCTGTCCCGGCAGGGCCGGGTAGAGTGGGGGCACAATGTGGACTCTGTACCTCCTCCGCCCTGGGGCTAAGGGCTAGGGAGGAGACAGCGGGCACCGAGCTGGGGGTCACCCCGCCCCGCCTCCCACAGGCTCATCCACCCGCACTTCTGCTTCAGCGCCCCCCGGGCTGCACCCCGCTGTCAGCCGAGCCTCCCAGCAGCCTTTCCTGCCCACACTCCGGGCACCGCCCGTCCAGTTCCGCAGTCCTGGGCGCGCAGAGGTGGTGTCCTCCGGAGGGAAGTTGGGCCGCGACGCAGCCCCTAGTTCCGGGACGCCTGTGGCCGTAGAGCCCCCAACCCCACCTCGCAGCTCCCGCACGCTGCGCGCCTCTCCATCCCGGCCCCGGTCCTACGTGCCTGGTGGCTCAGCTCGGCTAGGCTCGTCCGCCGCAGCCAGACTGCTGGGCCGGGAGAGCCGCGGAGGCTGCGCAGGCGGGGCGAACCCGGAGCCCCGCCCCGGCCCCCACCGAGCGCCGCCCGTTCGGTCGCAGCGCCCGGGTGCGCGCCGGGCCGGGGCCTCTCCGAGGCAACCGGCTGGAGCGCGCGTTCCGCTCGGCCGGCAGCGCCCGACTAGTGCTCGCCGCTCTCGCCAGGCGCTGCCCTCCCGGCGCGTACAGGGCGGGCCGGTCGGTAAGGAGACGTTGTTGGGGAGCGTGCGTGTCACTAAGGCGACGTGGGGTCGCAGGGGTGCGCGCTGGGTCCGGCCTCGGCCCGCTGCTCAAGGCTGCCGCAAAGGAGCCACGGACTCTGCCCGCCGGCCCTCGCCCCTAGCCACGCCGAGGTACCCCACCTCCCAAGCAGAGGTCGGACCCAGAGGTCCCGTAGGCCCCGCCACCTAGTTTCACGTAGACGTTTATTCAAACAACAGACTCGCGCTCGGTCTGGGTCCGGCCGAGGCGGGCGGAGTCGAGCGGGCCCACCCTCCTCCCGGGCTCTGCTGACCCCTGGTGGCTGGGCCGGCTCCGGCGGGTACCGGCCCCGAGCACCGACACAGCCCTGGTCCTCCAGGTCCGCACCCGCCTGTCCACGCACCGCAGCCAGAGGTAAGGGGCGCCCCCAGGGGCAACTCAGGCAGCCGCGGGGGCGGTAAGGCTGTGCGCAGCGGGAGCCCAGGGAGCCGGCAGCCAGGGACTGGGCCGAGGTGGGGGGAGGGGAGGTTAGGAGGCTGGGAAGTGGCCCAAGTGCCCAGAGGAGTCCCCTGGGGAAGCCCGGGGCACGTGCTTGCAAGTAATGAGGTGGGTGGGCAGCGCCTCAGTTTCATGAAAGATGGCAAAGATGCTGGCCTGGCGGAGGCAGTCCACTGCGCTGTTGGCGCGGGAACACGTGGCCAGGGGCCCGCAGTTTGGGGCGGGGTGGGGGCTCCCAAAGGCCTCCAGGACCCTGCCCCTAGTCACCGGTCAGCACCCATGCTCCGAACACCACCTTGTGGCCATCAGCGTTGGGGGGCAAGTAGTGGTCCTGCAGGGACAGGGAGGCGGCTCCTGCCCATAGAGTGTGCCTGCAGGGGGACAGACGAGGGCCAAGGTCGTCCGGGGTCGGCAGAGCCCTAGACCACCGCGTGGCCTCACTGTTAAGGCCTCCTTAGCTGTGGTCAAAGCCCTGCGCACAGATGTCGGGGACTGCCCAGGCTGATGGGCCATGGTACAGAACCTGCTCCACTAGGCGCCTCTCAGGGGGCTGTTCCAGGTGCTCCCCGTGGGGTTCGGACCTGCTGCTGCAGCAGACACTCACATGCTCCACGCCCAGAAGGCCATTCAGGGCCAGGCTATCAGGAGACCCTCCTACCCCCTCGGCACCCCACTGCAGACCTGAGCCTGGAAACCAAGAGCCTTCTCTTGGTGGAGTTCAGGGTCTGGGGAGATGGCAGAGCTCCAGTCATGCTTTGTCCAGCTGCAGACGCTGGGCAGACATTAGCCACCTGGATGGGGCCCCAAGTGGCACTGAACAGCTTCAGGGAAGCCTTGCTCCCTCCAGGGAAGTCTGGTCCTTCCAGGGAGGCCTGCAGGTGGACAAACCCAAGCACTCACCAGAACTGAGCACCCACAGCCAGGCCTCTGCAGGGCAAAGCTGAGCTAGGTGCCTATACAGCCCACAGGACTTCCCTTGAAACACCAAGAGATGCCCTGGACCTCTCAGTACTGGGAAGACCAACAGCCAGCCTCGAGGGAGCCAGTTCAGCAGCTCAAATAGTTTCTGAAGAAATTCTAACTCATCTCTTCAGGGGGATGCAAAAGAAATTACATCCATGCAGCAGGACTTGCTGTGTGAGAAGAACCAGTCTGAAAACACTGGGAATGGAATCTCGGAGTGGAGTCCAGTGGGTATGCCGGATGATGAGGTCAGGAGGTGAAGTTAGGGAACTGGCCCCCAGCGCAGAGCTAAAGGAAGGGGATGGGGACTGGGAGGGCCCCATGGGGAGGCTGGAGGCACAGGGGTGCCAGGTCTGCCCGCAGGACCTCCTTGGGAAGGCAGCGCACAGGTGGCCAGCCCCAGCCAGTGAGGGAGCCCTGGAGCACAGTTTCCCTGCCCTGAGGGGGGTGTCTGCTGGTGGGAAGGATCCATAAAAGGCCCAGAAGGACAATGGCAAAACATACATCCCCGGCACCTACCTGCTGGGGAAACTCCCACTTTCAAAGCAAAAGAAAACTCTGAAGTATCCAGACACACACACACACACACACACACACACACACACACCCCTAAATCAGTATGCAAATGGGGAAAAAATCTTGGAAAAACTCCACATGCTCACCACCAATACTACTGGATGCTAAGAGACCATAAATGGATTTTTTTTTTCTTTCCAAAAACAACGTTTTAGAAGAGGAAAGAGAAAGGGTAATGTCTTTCAGAGATTGGAAGGAAAACATAGTTTGATCCTGAACACTATATCCACATAAACTATTAATGAGGACAAAATAAGGACATATTAAGATATGCAAGATCTCACTGTGCTTATTTAACTTAGAAGAAATGTCTCAAACACACAGCAACTTTCATTTGGAAAATAAGTTTACACCAGTTACAGTTGCAAATTACCTCTAATGGTAAAAGGCAAAATAAATGTGAAACTCCAAGATATTGACTAGCCACTCAAGGAGATTCCTCTACTAAACAGATTAAAGAATCTGTGCAGGAAGGGGACAAGGGAGCATAAAGAGTACCAACACGGGGAAAAAATGAAAGTAAAAAAAAAAATTAAGGGGCACCTGAGTGGCTCAGTTATTAAGCATCTGCCTTTGGCTCAGGTGATCCCAGGGTCCTGGGATCGAGCCCCGCATCCGACTCCCTGCTCAGCGGGAGGCCTCCTTCTCCCTCTCCCACTCCCCCTGTTTGTGTTCCCTCTCTTGCTGTGTCTCTCTCTGTCAAATCAATCAACCAATCAATCAATATTAAGAGCCATTGGTCCTGTGGCACCTGGCTGGCTCGGTCAGTAGACCCTGTGACTCCTGATCTCAGGGTTATGAGTTCAAGGTTCACACACTGGGCGTGGAGCCTATGTAAAGAAAAAGAAAGAAAGAGCCATTGGTCTTTGAACTCTCGCATAATTCTCTTTCATGCAACATGGTTTTAATAACTAGGATTTCATTTCCTTGTTTCCTCTATGGTTCAATGGTAAATGCTTTTCCATTATCATTATATATCCACCAAAGTTCGGCCCAAGCGCGTAGCCTCAGGGTAATCACAGAATAGAAAATGACACCTGTCAACCTTGATGACATTAATAAAAATAATGCAACCGACCCAACTGTGAGGGAGAGGAGAAGGGGGGCCTGTTCTCCCCATCCTCCGTGGAGCAAGTCGAGAGACAGTCTCCAAAGCCGTGAATGAAAAGCAAGTTCACGTGTGCCACCTGAACTCGCGCAGGCGCCGACTGGGGGAATCAAGAGCGTGTAGCCAACAAAACCCGCCAGGCGAGTGCGGGCGACCCGCGTCGGTGCCTCTGTCTCCGAGGAGCATAAGTGAGAGCTGCTGAGTCCAAACCCGGAGGAAAGGGACCCCCTCTGAAGTTGGAGCGACCACCTGCAGTCAAAGAGCGGTGTGGGCAGCCTGGGGAGGGCCGGAAGTTCTGCCGCCGCCCGCCGGGGGTCACTGCCGCTGCCCGGCCCACCCCCAGCTTTGTGCGTCCAGAGTCAGGGGTGCCTGGCTGGCCTGGGCTCTGCACCGCCCCTTCCTCCTGCCTGTCTACACGGCAAGCACTCAACCTGCCCTTCTTCCTCTCCTGACCAGCTCATTTGCTCTGGTCCCCGTCCCCACCTGGCGGTCACTCTTCGACCCGCTCGGCGCCCGCTCCAGGCAGTGCCCTCACACTCACTCGCCAGCAGAGCCCCTCCTCCGCCCCTCCTTCTGCTCGTGCCACGCACCCCCCACGCCGCCATCGCCTCCTGAGGCCCTCCACAGCCTCTCCCTCCCCCTGCCTGATAGGCGGGGGCTCACTCTGAGCCCCCACCACCCACACCCCTGCCGTGGCTCCAGTGTTTGTCTGAAACACACGCACAGGGGCGCCCGGGTGGCTCAGTCGGTGAAGCGTCCGCCTTCGGCTCAGGTCGTGATCCCGGGGTCCTGGGATCGACCCCCGGGGGGGATCGAGTCCTGGGGGGGGGGGCCCTGCTCAGCGGGGAGCCTGCTTCTCCCTCTCCCTCTGCCTGCCACTCTACCTACTTGCGCTCTCCCTCTCTCTGTCAAATAAATAAATAAATAAAATCTCAAAAAAGTGTTTTAAAAAAAAAGAAACACACCCATGCTCAAAGTTGCAACATTTAGCAAATAAAAATAGTGCAGCAAGCCCTCTCCAGGCTGGGGCAGCGGCTGCGGGGGGGCCCCCAGGACCGCGCCAGGTACCTTACCTGCGGGAAGAGTAATTCTCAAAGTGGCCACGAGATGGCGCCCCAACCCCATGCTTCAGACAAGGAGCCCGTTCTGCAGTCCCACCCTCCGTCCTCACTGGGCTGTAATCAGCAAAACGGGGACCCCTGCTCGGGCCTGTCAGATCGTCGGGCCCCCCTACCGTCTAGGCCCTTATGTCTCCACCCTCCAGAGCAGGGACCAGGGCTAGCGAGCCCCACGGGGCCTCGTCCCCCAACCCTGACATAGGCTAGAGTGACAGTCCGCAGGCTCTTGCCATGAGCTCTGTCTGAGGAAGACAGTGTGGACTCACCCGGACGATGCGGATCCCGCCGTGAGCAGCCGCCAGGTGTCAGAGCAGACCCGCAGCACCACCCGGGACTCCTGCCACTCTTGGCCAGACCCCAGCCCATCCCAGGACCCTTCAGCCTCTGCTGAGGCACCGGCAGACAAAGGGGGTCCGGGCCATGCCTAGGGCACTGGCCTACCCCACCCTCCCCAAGCCGGGGTGCAGGCTCACAGGTGGGGCCTGAAGCTGCCAAGAGAAAGGCCAAACTCTGATGCGGGGGGCCAGCCAGCGGCACTGCCAGGTGGCTGGGTCCCAGAGTCCTGGAGAACGGTGCTGTCACCCCAAGGGGCAGTACTCACACCATGGCATGGCTGCAGACGGGCTCCCAGCTCTGCAGGCCACATGCGACCCCAGGACCCCACCATCTCCTCCTGGACGTGCACCTCCAAGGCAGTCCCTAGTGCCCGGTCCGGCTCAGCCACAGCCTGCCCGAAGGCCACGGGCACCACCAGCCAGGCCACCAGCTCCCCTGCCCACGAGCTCGTCTTCTGCCTCCTGCAGGGCTCACCGCAGCATGCAGCTCCTCTTGCGGCCACCTGGGCCCCCTCCCAGCCCTGGAGGCCAACTCCCGCTCTGGCTCCTCCTCAGAGTCCTCTGCCCGGCCCCCAGCTCTGGAGACCGCCAGCCAGCCCTCCCACCCAGGCCCTCCGGGGTGGCCCGCAGCGCTCACACCTCCTCTGGGGGCCGGGAGAGATGCGGGTTCACAGGCCAAGCCCAGCCAGGGTACAGAGTAAGTCAGGGCAAAAGACGGAGAGAAGGTGAAGGGCACAGGGCCACAAAACAGGTGAAAGTATAGGGCAGGGTAGAAGGCGAGGTCAGGGAAGGGCCCCAGGATATGCTGGGGTCCCCAGGGAGCCTCACCTTCTCCTGGTCACTGCCTGTATGGTCTGGGGGCTGCAGGGTGTGTGGGAGACCTGTTCCAGAGACCCTGTGGCCATCTCCCTGGGCCCACTGGGCCTGGAGACCCCATGGGCTCCGGCTCACCAGCCCCCTGTCCCAGTGACTCCATGGGCCCAAGCTGACTGGCTCAGCCTGTCCAAGAGACCCAAGGGGACCCGTCCCCAGAGAGGCTACTGTCTGCCCTGGTTCCTCTCCAGAGCCTCCGCAGTGTCACCAGCCCTGCACCCTTCAATGCCCTCGCTGGCCCTCCAGCCTCCAGGAGAACATGCTCGGTGGTCCCTGGCCCCAACGTGACCAGGTAGTGCCCTCCATGGTGTTCTTGGCAAGCTGCCCAGGCTCCAGGACGTCATAGTGGGGGACCAGGCTCAGCTCTGAGCACTGCCCCTGGGAGTCCTCGGTAGGACTCACTCGGCCACTTGGAGGGAAGGAAAGGGCAGAAGGCCCGCCAGGGCTCTGAGGGGTAGGGAGGGGTAGGCTACCAAGTCTATCACTCCCCTCGCCCTGCCGCTGCTGGAAGGATGTAACCGTGCCCAGGTGCCCAGGCAGGCTGCGAAGGCCCCCCAGGGGTCCCCTGCCACTGCGGAGCTCAGTCTCCAGGTACAGCTCCTGCAGCAGCAGGCCCTCAGGGGGAATACCCCCCACCACACGCACGACTCGGGCCTGGGACACCTCAGTCCCTTCCAGGCCCAGGGCCCAGGCCTGTTCCTCCAGGACTCAGACTTCTGTGGGGGAGGGTGCGGGTTGGCTCCGAGCGTCCCCCCTAACAGGCACATCCGCCCCAATCCTGCATCTTACCTGCCTCAGAAAGGGGCTGGGGCAGCTGGGCCAGGACCCAGTCTGGTCGGGGACTGTCAGGGCCACAGCAGGGCTGCGCTGGGTGCCCCGTGGCACGCAGCAGGGTCTGGCTGTGCTGCTCTAGGTGCTGGGGGGTGGCGGTATTGGGGGGCAGTCCTGGGAGCAGCAGGCTTGCAGGGGCACATGGTGGGGCTGGCCTAAGGCTCAGCCAGCGCCGTAGATGCCCCTCCTAGGCCGAGACCCTCCCTGCACCTGCAGGCAGGGGTGGAGTGGGGCATCAGGGCCCACAGCCAGCAGAGGGCCCTCAGGCTGCCCCTTCCACCAGCCCCCTCACCTGCAGACTTCTGAAAAGTGAGTGTGCCCCCTCTGCCAAGCTCTGCCAGCTCAACACAGGTCCTCCCCCAGAGCGACGGCCGTCCTCGAAGTAGGTCGTGAGCAGCCCCTCCGGGATGTCAGGGGGCAGCCCACTGAGCACCACTGCTGCCCCCCCACGCCTACCTCGGCCATGGCAACCCTGAGGCCTATACAGGTGGGGAGGGTAGTGGCACCACAGTCCCCCTGTCATGGTGGGGGAGGGGCACATTCAGAACTTACACCCTGCAGGCCCTGAGCCCCTACCTTCAGCCAGGACTCCTGAGCCTGCTCTGCAGCCAGAAGGCCTGGGACAGGGAGATTAAAGTGATACTGTGGGGCCTGCAGAGCTGGGGCTAGGGGACCACTTCCTCGCTGCTTTCCTTCCTTCCAGCAGGCCCCTCCTGCAGAGTTTTCCACCCCAGCCCCAGCCCCTGAGCCTACAAAGAACCCCTAGCCGACCGGGAGGTGCTGGCCAAGCCTGACCCCTCAGTCCAGCACACCAGCTCCAGCTCACAGGCTGCGAGGGTGTGGAGAGAGGCCGCTGGTGGTCCTCTACACCCACTGGCCTCTCCCTGGGAACCTCAAAATGGCCAATCACCCTCCCTACTAAATCCACCAGGCCTCTTGATTTGGGATAGAGTCGGATGAAAGGCCGAGAGAAAAGGGAAAGTGATGTTTCAAGACCATGGAGGCATAGAGGATCCTTGGCAGCTTCAGCACATCCTAGATTTAGGGAATACATTCCTAACTCCCTGAACCAAATTAGCCAGGCCAGGCCTCTGCCTCTAGGATCTTCAGCCCCCACGGCCCAAGCCGACACTTCGGCGGACAGTGCGGGACGCAGGGTGCCGGCCTGGGACTCGGAAAGGAGCCAGCAAGGCGGCCACAGCGGGTAGGACCCAACCGCAGGAACCCCGGAGTTCCCGGTAGAGCCTGGTCCCGCAGCCCCGCTCCTCCTCCTGCCAGCCCCGCCCCACCCCGGGCCAGCCTCGGCCCGGCCCCGGCCCCAGGCCCCGCCCAGACGCAAGACCCCGCGGCGTCTCCCCGGCTGCAGGCCCCGCCCCTGCCCCGCCCACCCCGCGCCCCTGCCCCGCCCCCAGGCCCCGCCCCGTCACAAGGCCCCGCAGCGACTCCGGAGCCGCAGGCGCAGGCCCAGCCAAGCCGGCCGCCGAGCGGGTGCGGGTGTGGGTGCGGGCTCAGCGGCCATCGACCGCACGGTCGCGCACCGGACACCGTGCGCACCGTTCCGGAGGCGCCCCGCGAGTGGTGAGTCCCTGGCCCGAGCGCAGCAGCGTGGCTACCCGCTCGGCCGCTGGGCCGCCCGCCCCCGCGCGGGCCCTGCGCAGCCCCACGGCGTCGCGGTGGGCTAGTCGGTAGGTCCCGCCGGGGCTCACGGCCCGCTCGGCCCGCTTGGGCCAGGCGCGGCGGCGGGCGGCTGGCGGGCGGCCGGCGGGCCGGCGGGGGGCGGGGGCGGGGGCGGCAGCGACCCGTGTCCCGAGAGTCCCCCGACCGGGCAGCGGGGCCCATCCGCCCTCGGTGCGGGTTCCGCGGCCGCCGCCCCCACCCGCCTCGCCGCCTCGCCTGCTTTGTTCCCCCGCACGCCCTCTGGTCGCTCCCATCCCCCCACACACCCCCGCACCCCGCTGTTCCTGGCGTACGCTCCATCAGGCACTCCAGGTAGCCGGTCCAGGCCTGCTACCCCCCGCCTTGGGAGCGAGGGGCAGTCGGGCCTGCCTTTGGACAAGGGTCAGGGCTCTCGCTGCTCACAGATGGCCTGGGGATTTCCCGGGATAGAAATAGCCGCCGGCTCTAGCCCCTTAAAGCTGCTTAGGGGGAGGGTGGCTAAGGGGAGGGTCCGGGCACACCCCCACACCTCCCTGACCGCGCCCCCAGCACGGTCCGCGCTGAGCTCTGACCCGGGAGACGCCAGCAGCGGTCATAAACCTCCCCGGTTGCTCCTAAGAAACGACTGAAACCAAAAACCCCCGAAGCTGACGGAAGTCACCGTCTTCCTGTGCTCTGCTCCACTTATGGGGTCGTCTTAGAACGGCTCCTTCCGAAGCCCCAGGCCCGGCTAACGGGTCCCCGCTGGCTCTCCTGGCCCTTCTGCTCTGGGGTTGCCAACGGCCCTGGGGGCAGAAGTCCTGTATGCCCCCCTTTGTGTCCTGGTTCCCTGCAGCAGGTGGGGCGGGCGGCGGTGGCTGGTTCCGGGGCGCCGCTGCAGGGCTGACTTCTCTCTCTCTCCTCTAGGGGGAGACCACAGAATCTGAGGCCATGCCCCATGAAAAGAGTTTCCTGGTGTCTGGAGACAGTTATCCTCCCCCCAACTCTGGATACCCTGGGGGACCCCAGCCCTCCATGCCTCCCTACCCTGTAGCCCCTTACCCACAAGCCCCCTTCCAGCCTTCCCCATATGGCCAGCCAGGGTACCCCCAGGGCCCCAGCTCCTACCCCCAAGGGGGCTACCCTCAGGGCCCCTACCCCCAAGGGGGCTACCCTCAGGGTCCCTACCCTCAAGGGGGCTACCCTCAGGGGCCGTATCCGCAGAGCCCCTTTCCCCCCAACCCCTATGGACAACCACAGGCCTTCCCGGCACAGGACCCTGGCTGTGAGTAGTAGAGGGGAGGGGGTGGGGGGGGTGGGGGGGGCGCGAGGGGCTCCAGATGCCCTCCGTGGTGCTGACCCAGCCTGTGCTGCTCCTCAGCACCTCAGCATGGAAACTACCATGAAGAGGGTCCCCCGTCCTACTATGACAACCAGGACTTCCCTGCCACCAACTGGGATGACAAGAGCATCCGCCAGGCCTTCATCCGGAAGGTGGGCGAAAGAGGCTGGGGGAGGGGGGCAGCGGTCCCGCTGGGCAGGGCTCTGAGCTGGCTCCCGCCTTAGGTGTTCCTGGTGCTGACCCTGCAGCTGTCTGTGACGCTGTCCACTGTGGCCGTGTTCACCTTTGTTGGGAAGGTGAAGGGCTTCGTCCGGGAGAACGTGTGGACGTACTATGTTTCCTATGCTGTCTTCTTCATCTCCCTCATTGTCCTCAGCTGCTGTGGAGACTTCCGGCGAAAGCATCCCTGGAACCTCGTTGCCCTGGTAACCCCAGCCCCTGGGCCCTGCAGCACCCCCCCCCCGCTACCACATTTTGCAGCCACGGGGTGGGGGGGTGGGCAGCGGCTCCCCCCACACGAGGCTCCGTGTCCCCACAGTCGGTCCTGACCGTCAGCCTGTCCTACATGGTGGGCATGATCGCCAGCTTCTACAACACTGAGGCGGTCATCATGGCTGTGGGCATCACAACAACGGTCTGCTTCACGGTGGTCATCTTCTCTATGCAGGTGAGGGCCCCTGAAGGCGGGGCTGCTGGCCCCTAGGGCCCAAACGCCTTCGGGGGCCCGGCACCCAGGGCCTCCTGTCGCCCCTGTGCCCACAGACCCGCTACGACTTCACCTCGTGCATGGGCGTGCTGCTGGTGAGCCTGGTGGTGCTGGTCATCTTCGCCATCCTCTGCATCTTCATCCGGAACCGCATCCTGGAGATCGTGTACGCCTCGCTAGGCGCCCTGCTCTTCACCTGCGTGAGTGCAGGGGTGGGTGGCCGGGGGGCGGGGCTGGGCCGGGGGGCCGGGCCGGCAGGTTTGTCCCTCACCGGCGCGGCCCGTCGCCTCCAGTTCCTGGCAGTGGACACCCAGCTGCTGCTGGGAAACAAGCAGCTGTCCCTGAGCCCGGAGGAGTACGTGTTTGCCGCACTGAACCTGTACACGGACATCATCAACATCTTCCTGTACATCCTCACCATCATCGGCCGCGCCAAGGAGTAGCTTGCGCTCGGGGCCCCACTCGGGCGGCACGGCTGGCCTGGGCCCTGCCCCTGCTAGGGCAATGCCGTCACACCTCCCCTTGCACCCCCCCGGGCCTAGCCCGGGACCAAGGGACCCCCCCCCGACCCTCCTGTGTGTACACTGCGGATACTTCTGTGTGGACCCACTGCGGCCAGCATGGCCCCCTCTCGCCCTCCGGCCCTGCCAAAGGGCAGTGGGGGGCCCGGTTTCCAGGCCACCTCCTGCCCACTCACTGTTGCATGAGCCCTGTCTGCCAGCCCACCCCAGGGTCTGGGGGCAACACCAGGTCCCAGGGGAGAGGGGTCGAGCCAAGAGGTGAGGGTGCACGTCTCCCCTCCTGTTCCAGCCCCCACCCCCAGCCTGGCATAGAGTCCCCCCGCCCCGCCCTGGAGTGCTGCCCTCTGGGGGGCCTGAGGGGTGAGGGCCCTGTCCCTGTGCTGAGCCCTTAGGGCAGAGAGGATGAGACTATTTCAGGGGGGTAGGAGGCCTTCCTCTCGTCTTGCTGTCTTTAAAATTCCAATAAACGGGACCTTGTGCTCTCCGCATTGTGATCCCGCTCCTGGCCGCTTTTTCTGGGGGGTGGGGAGGAGGCTGTGGCACCACCAGGGCAAAGGGAGCGGGAGCAGGTTAGGCTGCCGGGAGGGGAGCTCAAGGAAGGGAGGGCAGCCAGGCCTCCTCGTGTGCACGCCATCACCCTCCCTGCCACCTCCCCTGCCCCGTCGTAGGCACCGCGCGCACCGAGCAAGGGCACGGACAGGGACCTGGAGGCCTCTGGAGCTTAAGCCTGGTGCCTGGTTCACATGGTGATAGACGGCCTGACTTTGCCACTCGATCCTGGAACCGCATAGCATGGCGGAGGGTCTTATGAGACCCTTACCATCTTGCCCTGGGTCTGGGGACGCCGTAGGCCATGGACCTGCCCCAGAGCAGACTCTTCCTGGCTCTGCCCGTCAGTGGGCACCTGACGTGCCACCTGGGCCTGGCTCAGACAAGGCCCCACAGATCCCTCTGCCCTCCGCATGAGAAACCTGCAGACTGGAGCCTCTGGAGGGAAGTTGGACAAAGACTCTTGAGGGCTTGGCCCGTTGGGTCCCTCAGCCTGCCTCTAACACCTTCTGCCAGCCCCCCGCCCCCCCTGCCTCCCCCCCCCTGGCTCTAGGAGGTACATTCAGAGGTCAGCTAGCTGTCCACATCCTCCCCCTCCCCACAGAGGGGCTCCTGCACTGTCCAGGGCCCAGATCTGTCAGAGGACCTCCCTGCTCTTGGCTCACTGCAGCCTCCCCTCTGCAGGACCCTCCATCTAGTGTGGCTTGAGAACCCTCTCCTGGGAGGAGAGGGTTGCCCCTTGCCCCTCACCCCCCACCCTTGTAGCTGGTCTATCACCCCAGCATCCGTGAAGGGACTCACACATGGCGAGCCAGCATCCCTGCCAAGGTCTATGGGCACCTCCGCTGTGGCCCACCTGCCCCAAGTCCATTCTCCCCGCAAACCTGCTGCTGCCGCGTCCTCTCCCATCCATGGTCTCCACCCCGGCCGCCCGGCCAGAACCAGGGCTGTCCTCTCTCTGCCCTGCCCGCCTTCAGCTGCATGGAAGGCCTAATGCTCGCCTGTCCATTCACACCCACCCGCCCTTTGCCTGCTAGGTTTATTTCCAAACACAGATCCCACCACCTGCCTGCTTCAAGCCCTCTGAAAGTTGCCTGTGGATGAAGTGCACATCCCTGCCTGGCCCGTGGGCCCTGCCATCCGCCTGCTGGCTGCCTAGCTGACCTCTCGCTGTCCCCTCGTCGCTCAACCCCTGGGCCTGACCTTGCACAGCCTGAGACCCAGGCAGGCCCCTCTGCCCTGGGGCAGGGATGCATGCACCCCTGGGCCCTTCCTGGTGTCCCCCTCGCCTTGCCCCGTGGCTGCCTGTGGCGCCGTGCCCCTCAGCTGTGTCCACCTGCTAAGCACCAGGCAGGAAATGCAGCCCCACCCCCACCCCTTGGTGGCTGGCTCCTCGAGCAGGTGCAGCTCCCTGGCCAGGACTCCCTGCCCTGCCCATGCTCTAAGCATGCAGGAATCTGCTTCATGTCAGCTCGCAGACCCATCAGGGTTTCAGGCTGAGAAGAACCCCAGAGTGTTGACATGGTGAACAAAAACATCAATTGAGGTGGAGGGAGCTCAGGAATAATACCGCTGAGTGCAACAGGCAAGGACAGTGTTTTTCTCGAGGAGCTCTGGGAATGCAGACTCTCCGCTAAGCTAACCCTGGGGGGAGGCCCCCTGGGGGCAGCGAGGGTCTGCAGGTGTGGTGCAGGGGCACAGCGACAGCCAGGAGGCCAGGAGATAGAAGAGGCACCTGCCGCCAGAGGGAAGCCCAGGGCTGCACACAGCCAAGGCCCTGTAGGTAAAGGGGACTCCAGAGGAGCCCAGCTACAGAATGTCCAGGAGAAGGCATGAGGTGTGAACAGGTGAAGCAAGCAGGAAAGGGGCCGTGGAGGTGTGCCAGAGAGGAGCTCAGAGCGGCCACAGCAGAGCCCAGGGCCATGGGCATCAGGATGTGGCCTGCAGCGCCACAGAAGGACCAGGCTGGGCCCAGGGCAAGGCTGACAGGCAGGGCATTTTTCTTTCTTTCTTTCTTTCTTTCTTTCTTTCTTTTTTTTTTTAAGATTTTATTTATTTGAGAGAGAGAGAATGAGAGATAGAGAGCATGAGAGGGAAGAGGTTCAGAGGGAGAAGCAGACTCCCCACCGAGCAGGGAGCCCGATGCGGGACTCGATCCCGGGACTCGAGGATCATGACCTGAGCCGAAGGCAGTCGCCCAACCAACTGAGCCACCCAGGTGCCCTTTCTTTCTTTCTTTCTTTTTTAAAGATTATTTTATTTGAAAGAAAGAGAGAGTGCCGGGCGGGGCAGGGCAGAGAGAATCTCGAGCAGACTCCTCGCTGAGCAGGGAGCCCGACACGGGGCTCAATCCCACGACCCTGAGATCACGACCTGAGCCAAAACCAAGAGTCGGACGCTCAGCCGACAGGCGTGCCCGGCAGGGCATTTCTGCCGGTGGAACGTGGCCTGCTCACTCTGCATCCTTCCCAGGTTAGAGAAGGAGGGGCAGCTATGAATCTGACCAGGTGGAAGAGTATGTAGAAGGTGCTCACGCTGACTCAGGGAGCAATTGTGGGTGAAGCACTGTTGCTTTTCCAGCCGAGGAAGGAAACAGCCTCCAACCTCTGGGGGCTGGCCTGGTCCTATGAGCAAAGCCCCAGTGTTGCTAGGAGCAGGCCCGGCACTCAGATCCAGGCACTGGTGTTCTGCTGGTCAGATTATAAACAATTTCACACAACACCAGCATCAGACAAGTTCCCTCCGTAATCACGTGTGGACATAGACAAGACACGGGCAACGTCCAGGCGTAAAGACCAATGGTGCACTGTGCTGCTTACAGACAGCTAACCCCTCTGGTCTGCCCTCCTTCCAAAGAAGAGGTATTGAGACACCCAGGCACAGGACACCCCCTTTCCTGACAGCATGTGACCCAGAGTGAAGCCCTGCCTCCGTAGCTGTCCCCAGTTCACCCAAGGGAGCCCAACCTCTGGTAGGTCCTTTCTAGGCCCAGAGTCCTGTGATGCCCCGGCTGCCCGTTGCCTGAGGTCCCCTCACTGCAGTGAGTGATAAGCCCGGCCTGCACACCTGCTGGCATGTCCAGTGGGCTTCCACAGGAGGGCACTGAAATGGCTACTAACTATACTCAGGCCAAAGAGGGCTAATGTATTCTTCAACAGAAATGTTTATCTCCATAGGCCATCATTAAATCCGTCCTAATTTTCAAGGTGAAAAGACACAAAGCGTGCACGCCTCCATCACACTCCTTGCCAAGCAACACTGCCCGTGGCCATGGAGAACCGTACTGAGAGGCTGGCACAGGACCCCGGCTTGCTGAACATCCAGGCCAGCACCCCGTCCAGGCCCAGGCACACCATAGGTGTCAACTGTGGAGTAAATGAACGAACTTCATGTTCCAGGACCAGGGACAGAGAGTGCTTTAGACCTCAGGACTTTGGCTCAGCATCAACATTAGCGGGAAGTCATTTCAGGAGTGTGGACAGCAAAACTCAAAGCCCAGGAGAATGCATGGAGGCACATCTGGGGAAACCAAGTGGAAGAAAGAGAAGACGCACAGAGAGTCATGAGTGGTCAAGGCCAAGTGTGGAAAACCGAGGAGCTCCAGGGTCTGGAATCCTCCAGAGAAGAGCCTGGGAGTGGTTTGAGTAAAGGCAGATCAGTACGGATTGCCCTGGTGGGGCAGGCGGGAAGAGCCCTAAATAGTGAGATGTACCATGTTCATGGATCAGAAGACTTAATAATGTCAAGATGTCAATTCTCTCCAAACTGATATAGAAATTCAACACAATCCCAATCAAAATCCCAGCAGGCTTTATTGTAGAAATTGACAAACATCTTAAAATGTATATGGAAATGCAAACGATGTAGAAAAGTCAAAACAATTTTGGGAAAAAAAAGAACAAAGTTGGAGAACCCGCACCACCTGATTTTGTGACTTACTGTAAAGCGAAAATAATTCTATGGAGGAACACATAGATCAGTGGAACAGAATAGAGAATCCAGAAATAAACCTATGCATATGTTTTTTAAACAATGGTAACGGAAAATTGGATACCATGATTAAAGAAAAAGATAGAACCCCGACCCTTACCTCACATCACACACAAAAATTAATTTGGAATGGATCCTAGACCTAAATGTAAAAGCTAAATTTATAAAAGCTTTTTTTTTTTAAAGATTTTACTTATTTATTTGACAGAGAGAGACACAGCGAGAGGGAACACAAGCAGGGGGAGTGGGAGAGGGAGAAGCAGGCTTCCCGCGGAGCAGGGAGCCCAACACGGGGCTTGATCCCAGGACCCCGGGATCATGACCCAAGACAAAGGCAGATGCCTAACGACGGAGCCACCCAGGTGCCCCTGTAAAAACTTTTATTTTTTATTTATTTATTTATTTATTACAGATTTTATTTATTCATTTGAGACACAGAGATACAGACAGAGAGAACACGAGCAGAGGGAGAGGCAGACGGAGAGGGAGAAGCAGGCTTCCCGCTGAGCCAGGAGCCCGATGCGGGGCTCGATCCCAGGACCCTGGGATCATGACCTGAGCCGAAGGCAGACGCTTAACCTACTGAGCCACCCAGGCATCCCACACATGAATATTTTCAACATCTTTTCTCATCAAGGAAATGCAAGTGAAACTACAATAAGATGCCAATCTACATTCACTAGAAAAGCTCAAACTAAAAGATTTATGATAACAAACACCGGCAAGGATGTAGAGCAGCTGGTGGAAAAGCAGAATGGTACAACCATTTGGGAAAACAACTTGGCAGCTTCTTATAATGTTAAGGATCTAGCAATTCCACTCCTAGATTTTTATCCAAAGATTTGTACACAGTTGCTCATAGCAGCTTTATTCATAATAGCCAGACATGGAAATGACAGAAATGCCCACCAGCAGGTGAACGGATAAACCCACTGTGATAGTCATGTGATGGAAT